TCCAGTTTCAGTCAGTGAGCTTGCCTATGTACTGTCTGCCCATCCAGTTTCAGTCATTTTCCCCAGGTCCCGGTCTCTGCCATGGGTTCCTGATCCATCTGCTCCGCCCTGGAGGTCTTCTGCTCCGCCCTGGTGGTCTTCTGCTCTGTCTGCTCTGCCCTGGTGGTCTTCTGCTCCGCCCTGGTGGTCTTCTGCTCCGCCGTGGGGATCTTCGGACCCGTCTGCTCAGCTGTGGTGGTCCTCAGCCCTGCCAGCCCCATTCTGGCTCCCTGCCTCGCCAGTTCCGCCCGGGCTCCCTGCTCTGCCGGCTCTGCCTCAGTCCTCGGGCTCTCAACTTCCACGTGGACCTGGCCCTCCATCCCTCCCAATGTTCCACCTCCGCTCCACCACCCTCCTGGATTTTACTGTTTTAGGAGCGTCTGGAAGCCGCTCCTTCTGCTCTGTCTGCCCCGCCCTGGTGGTCTTCTGCCCCGCCCTGGTGGTCTTCTGCCCCGCCGTGGGGATCTTCGGACCCGTCTGCTCAGCTGTGGTGGTCCTCAGCCCTGCCAGCCCCATTCTGGCTCCCTGCCTCGCCAGTTCCGCCCGGGCTCCCTGCTCTGCCGGCTCTGCCTCAGTCCTCGGGCTCTCAACTTCCACGTGGACCTGGCCCTCCATCCCTCCCAATGTTCCACCTCCGCTCCACCACCCTCCTGGATTTTACTGTTTTATGGTGGTCTTCTGCTCTGTCTGCTCTGCCCTGGTGGTCTTCTGCTCCGCCCTGGTGGTCTTCTGCTCCGCCGTGGGGATCTTCGGACCCGTCTGCTCAGCTGTGGTGGTCCTCAGCCCTGCCAGCCCCATTCTGGCTCCCTGCCTCGCCAGTTCCGCCCGGGCTCCCTGCTCTGCCGGCTCTGCCTCAGTCCTCGGGCTCTCAACTTCCACGTGGACCTGGCCCTCCATCCCTCCCAATGTTCCACCTCCGCTCCACCACCCTCCTGGATTTTACTGTTTTAGGAGCGTCTGGAAGCCGCTCCTTGGGGGGGCTATGTCACGAATCCTGTCCATGGACTTCCGTTCAATCGCCACCAGAGGTCACCCTTCCGTTACATTGACTCATCACCATCAGTCTCACACCACCATTCAACGCTGAGTATTGTTTAGCCTATATCACTGTTTAGCTGATAGCTACCTTACGGAGCCTGCTTTAGTTTTCCTAGCCTTATCTGAGTCTTGCCTTGTCTGTTTTCTCGTGTTCTGATCATTGCCTGTGTACCTGGATTATCCCTCTAGTCTCGCCCTGTTGGATTACATTCGCCGTCGACTGACCCTCGCTTGTTTAACGGACTGCTCTTGCCTGGTCTTCTACATACCAGTTTGCCATTGTCTGACCCATGCCTGTTTCTGACCACGCCTTTGTAAATAAAGCCTTGCACTTGGATCTGCACGTCTCACGTCTCGTTCGTCCTGTAACAAAATTAATACACATTTGTAATAATGAAGTTTCAACTGAAAATATATTCATATTAAATGTAAAATTGAATAACATGCTATAGTTAAAATTATACAAGGGCTTTAGTAGGTTAGTCAGCACAGCAAATAAGTGCACATCTTAAAAGCATGATAAATGATTATTAAAACAGTTTAAAAGATTTAATGTACTTTAAAGTAAAGCATTTATTTAACGTTAAAAGTGCCCTTTTTATAAACAGTCAATAGTTATAAAAAAGTATCTCTCTTTACTTATTTTACACTTTATTATCTGCAAGTACAAATTGTAAAAAATAGAATTTTTATAAATATAATAGGCTATGTGCTAAAGGGTTAAGGGTTTGTTCAAATCCTAACATTATAAGCAATAGTATTAGTGATACTCACCTCCATTAACACTGCTTTTGAAGAAAATTTGCAGTTAACACTGAAAATATTAAGATAATAATATTAAGTCTCAATAGTTTAATGAACAGATGGCGTAGCTAGATAGGGAGTAAAAAAAACGAGTGTACATGTGTGAGGAAAACAAAGACAGAGTGTGACTGAATGCTTAAAGTGCACTTCTGCCTACTTCAGCTGCCATAGCCAAACAGGAAAACCTTAAAATAAGAATAATTTTACCACGGAACAATGCTGTATTCACATACTCACATGCACTTTCCATTAAACTCCATGTGAAGTTACAGCATGTCATTGTGCTCTCACATTTACTGTAACAATAACACTTTCTGCTGTGAGTGAAACACTCACACGGCTTCACCTCTGACCAAACCAAACATATAGAAATTGAAATGTTCTTAACAACAAAATATTGCTTAATGAAATCGCTCCTATCAGATAACACACTGACTGAGCAACACTGTTTCTTCAAGTCGATAATCTTTTTTCACATAATAAGATGTCAATGTAAATATAGTCTCAAAGAATGATGTGCTTGAACTTCCCACACTTGAATTTGTCACTTGTAGGCCCTAAGAAAAAGAAAAGAAAATCCTGTCATTATTCACTCACTTTCTTCTGTGGAATACAAATTTTTTTTTTTGAAGAATGTACCAGTGGCTCTTTTCCATGAAATTACTGGAGCTTTCAAACTTCAAAAAGGACAAAAATGCACCATAAAATAATGAAATAGAATTTTCATTTTTGTAGCTACATGTGAGGCTAGTTTTTAGTCAGACCTGCATTGTTTTCCACAATCTGCTCCATCTGCTAATGCTGTTTAAATAATAGATTAGATTGCAATATGAGAAAACTGCAGTTGAGGTGGTCAGATCAAGGGGTCAGAGAAGGGCAAAGCAGATATCTTCCATTATTCTCTCTCACTCTGATCTCATTCTTGTTGCGTGCCAGACCTCTCCCCCTGCGTGTGGGACCCTGATAACAGGATCTTCTGAGAAAGTGAGGAAGTCCTTTCAGGCCTTGGGTGTGTGCCTCACCAGAAAGACGCGCAAAAGAATTGTGTGCAAAAACGTGTGTGTGCAGCTGCTGTAGGAAAAGTTAATACTTGAGGTGTGCGGCCATGGCAGGTATCTGAAGCTGAAGGTCATGGCGTTCTGCAGCATGTCAGCTGTGTCTGGTGCTCATATCCAGTACACAAAGGCCTTGAAAAGAGTCCACCACAGCTGTGCATCACATGCAGGACAAGAGACAACAGTCTGACTGCTACTAGTCGCACATGTCATACAGTAAAAAAATGAATAATTTAATTAATGGTTTAGTTAAGAAAGAGTGTTTTTTCAGAGCACCAGACATCAAAACCAAAATAAAAATAATGTATATTAATTATTATGCTGCATTTATTTATTTTCAGATACAAAATTTACATTTTTACACTAACTATCCTTTTAATAAAGAACAAGAGACATAAAGATGTATAAAACTCTTTTTATATTATATTGTTATTTTACTCAATATTATATTATATATTTAATTGATTTCTCTATAATCTTATAGTATATTCTTTCAAATGCTGTATGCATTGAAAATGAATACTTCCTCATAATTACTGTTTGTTTCAGGACCAGCAGATAACCTCAGATGGGGAATGAAAACCGTTTATGTGTTGCTCTGCAGGTCCAGGATTTGTGGGCAGATGTTTATGTGATCATTGGGTGAATGTTGCACAGGTGGATGAGGGTGAGACTTGTTATGAGTTTCTCTGACTGGTTCAACCTCTCATATCCTGCCTCAATACTCTCACATATTCTGCAGCAGTGTTTACTATCAAACAGAGCAGTGGGAGTATTTGTTTTTTCTGTTGATCTGCTTGTTTAACAGCAGACATGGAATTAACTTTTCTAGAATGAAGAATTACAGTAGTGCCGTGAGAGCGTCAGAAGTGCTTGTGTGGACATGAATTTTATTTCATGGGAAAAGGTGAAGAAATGAGAAACACAAACCTGCTTGCTGTTGAACAGCAGGGCAGTACATGCAGTCTGTATATCAGTGATTTACTGAAACTAATTCAGAGACTGGGTCAAAGAAAAAAGCCCACGGTAATGAAGCTTTGGTGTACACATAAATAACATTTCAGTGTCCTTTTGTTCTGTGGAGACTTGCTGCAAAGAAATAAAGCACTCTGAAAGCTCACCAAACATTTGTTACAGCTTTCTTGAATTTCACTGAAAAAGTACACGACAAAATCTCTTTACTGTGATTATCATCATGAAGGAAAAAATAAGTTATTGTGCATGGGCTGTTTATAAAAGCTGGAAGAAATGGCTCAGCTGAGCACCAGAAATGGAGAGATTCTCTCTAAACCGCAGCAATAGTTAATTATAGAGGCATAAATCATAGACCACCCATTGTGTCTGAGATTGTAAAGAAACCTGCTTTGGAGTCTTGCAAAAAATGGGGTTTACCTTAATACTAGCAACAAAAGAGACTTATGAAACACAAGTCACTCTAAACAATAATCAAGCAATAATAGAATTATTGATATCCACAGAAATAAATAAACAAATAAATAAAAATAAATGCATACAAATCGATAAAGAAAAATGTGGTTGCAGTTCTCATATTATCGTTGTGCCCTTGAGCTAGACCTAATAATATCATGGAGACTGTTCCTGGCATAAGATGTTTCGACTGAAAAGGGAATTGTTTTTGGGGGCAGTCTGACCTGGTAGCCTAAAAGTGTGAGTATAGTGACTATTTTAATATGATCAATTTTGCAGCATATATTTTATTTTAATTGTCTAAGCAGAAATCATAGTGTATGTTGCTGTGTGCTGTATGCTGTGTTCCTGTACAACATGTGAAATCTCAGCTGTGACAGGTAAGAAACATACAGTTAGGTTACTTAAATGCGCTCCGGCAGTCAGAGAATGAAGCCTCTCCAACATTTGGACACACAGTTAAAACTAAATCTGAATTACAGTATTTTCACAGGTGCTGCTAAATTTAGAAGGAAACCCACATTGGTCATGTCCTTTACTTTCCTGAGATGACACCAAAGCACCCGCCTCCTTCAATAGGAGCACTTCACCAAGGTTATTACGTGTATTTGCGGCGCTCGCGCTGCTTGTGACTTTCGCCTCCAGTAAGGCAGGAGCTTGAGAGCAGTGGTAAGATCATCATACACTTCATGGTCTGCTAATATAAATGCATTGGCTTCTGAATGTTGACTGCGCACCATTTCTTATAAGTGAAATGAATGGCTTTTAATTCGTATGGCAGCTGCTGTATATGTTTGTACAGAGCAGGTGCGGACTAGATTTAGCCTTTATTTGACTACAGCGAGTTCATGCACGTGCTCTGCAAACCCCTCTCTGCTGACCTTTACGCAGATTGTGTGAAACTGATATTAGATAGGGATTGTTTCACTTGTACGATTACATTAATAACAAAGTAGGCTACTAACTTTTTTTTGTGATAATTTAATTGACCTGAGTTTCAATATTAATACAATTTCCGTAACTGAAGTAATAGCCTATTGTTGTGTTTCAAGTTAAATGTTCAATTATTGTTTTAGTAGCTATAACTAAATTGATATTTTTGCATTGTGATTTGCTGGCAGATGGATGTGACATTTTCTTCAGGGTCAGCTCTGAACACTTGTCCTTCCCAGTTAACCCGAATCCTTTTGGGTTGTGCGTGTCACCTGTTACCAGCTCATCTGTCTACATTAATTATCACTACTAGTTTGAAAGGCACAATATTTACATTGCAGGAGGTTTTTTTTTTTATTACCAAAATTGAGTGTTGCTTGCATAAACGTTTTAGTGATTTTAAACTTTTATGAGAAAATGTGCAGTGGTTACTTCATGAAGCTAATTGTAGCTGATCTGACCCTATACAATTAATTCATATTTAATATTTAATTTAACTTAAGTTAATTTAGATGTGGAGTTACCTAGCAAAACATTTTTTCACACTGTGTGCCCATCACATGATTTGCTACAGTGAAGTTTTAATCCTCTTTGCCAGTTCTGTAAAGATTAATCAACAATGTCTGGAATTCTTGGGAACGTAGATTATGATCCAAAATAGTTTGATGGTCATAAAAATGCAGTTGTACATTTATAACGTGCGTCTACAGAGGTTATTTTTAAATGTGAGTAAATGACACAAGCCTATTTCATCCATTTACTTCTCAGAAAAAATATTCAAGAGACTGTGGCACAGAGTCACATGATTAACTGGCTTTAGATAGTACTTTAAATTCTGGGTGTATTGAATGGATTAACCCAACCAGCACTTTATGCAGATTTTTTTTTCTTCCCCATAGTAAAACATTTGACTGGCTTGTCCTTGGTGCTTGAATTTAAGCTTATTTTCTCTCCCAGTGCAATTATTATTATTATTATTATTATTATTATTGTTTGTTTTTTTTAGTCTTAAATGATAAGTTTCCTTTGTCTAGAGGTTTATTTGGCTCTCATTGTTCCTATTAAAAAATGTAGAAGTAAATAAGTAAGCACTAGGGCTTACGTACCTATAGAATTGCTCAGACAAGGAATGAAGATTAGTGGGCCGTCCTTAAGGAGCCCAGCAGACTGTGCAGTTTCTCAGGAAGACAGTAAGGGTTACATGTCAGGCCCCAACGGACACGAGGATTGGTTTGATCTGATTGTGTGCACGTTCTTTCCCTGTAGGGTGTAGCCCCAATTCATTTTCCTATCTCTAGCTTGCATGTGTCCAAGCAAGTTAGCAGAGCACTTTTGGTGCATTGCATCAGTGTGACTTTTGTTAATGTGTACTTTAATGCCTGTAGTTATTTCTGAACAAATTTAAAATATAGTGTGTATTACCCTTTGTTGTTCATTTGTTGAATGAGACCGTCTCAAGGATGCATGTTTATCTTGCCTGCAGTGTTTTTCTCTTATGCTTTGGATTATTAGATTAATTTGGAACCTTCAACCTCTGAAAAAAAGAAATTAAGTCCTTGAGATGTCTTTCAGTCCATTGTCATGTTTTTCAAACTTTATAATTTAAGTTAAACATTCATATCTATCTATCTGTCTGTCTGTGTATGTATAAGCTACATATACACTTGTTTCTAATTCTTGTATAAACGACGAGAATTAGATTTGATCACCTTATATTAACTATGGACTTCATAAGATATTTATTTAAAAATAATTTTATCACACCACCAACCTAGTTTAAAGAGATAGTAAACCTACACTTACATGATTACTGTCAGGATTAAGTTTTGCAGATAGAAAATGTATCTACATTTAAAAAAAATCTACATAATTGTTTTGTAGAACAAATATAATCTTCATGCAGTTCTTTTTCATTTATTGACCGTTCATAGTGACCACATTTATCACGCCCCAAAAATATGGTCAATATGACCAATATGTTATAATACAAGTTTTCTGAATTCGTATGATAATAACGAAGTCTAATAATGAAGTGATATGTTCACTGATAATCTTCCCTGGTGAATAGAGTATTTCCACAATGACATATGTAACAGAAAAATGTGAAGCTGCACTGACACACACAGGTGTCAAGTAAAGGTAAAAGTTCAAGACCATGTCAGTCACCCAGAGAAACCTAAACAAAACACTGCATAGTGCACCTTAACCAGCATTACAATAAATATCTCTGTTTAAGATAACTTTTTTTTTTGTTTACACAAGGAATCTAATTTTGTTTTATGATTATGATTTATCTACTTCCCTGAGATATAGAGTTCAACAGTTCTCATTCTCTTGCAGCAGTTATTTGAGGCCACGATGGATCAAGCCAGGACAACAATTTCAAAAATCGTAAGACATACTTTTCATACAAATTAATTTTGCCATGGCATTATAACAGAGTCATCTGAACCAATCATTAACCATATAAGGGCTAACAAAGAAAGCACAATCTTTGACACGAGATCTGTGACTGCTGAGATTTAAATGTTTCTTTATAGCTGAGAAGATTTTCAGGCACTTTGACTGAAACCTTCTTAATTTGTTCCTGATATCGGTTTTACTACTTGTGCTGAAATCTTTCAATATTCAAGAGAAAATCTGAAACCTCATGACTTTAAACACGACTGGCCTTTTAAGTGTTCTTACAGTGACGAGAACCCAGGACAGTATTTTATCATGGTGTCTTGTAATCTGTATTTTTCCAGTTCAATGGGGAGCCGCGCTCCTACACTCGCTTTAACCTGACCCAGAACATGGAGGGTGACAACAGCCATGTGGAGATGAAGCTCTCATCTGACATGGATGATGAAGTGGAGGCTAACGGTGTTGGGGAAAACACAAACCAACATAATCATCCATATTACCCCAGCAAACTGAACCAGCGTTCTCCCAAAACCGTCTGCGGATATGTCATTGGCATTCTGTTCCTTTTCGTTATTGGTAAACCAATATGCTGGTATATTCAAGCTTATTATGTGGCCCTCTGGAATTCTTTATTCTGATTGGTCAAATGTTTTTGTACAATGACCACTAAACTGTAATAATTTCCATGCACAAAAACAACTCCTATGTTTGTCTTTCAGGATACCTCATTGGTTACCTGTCTAATAGAAGCACAGACAAAACCGAAATCAAGTCAGATTGTCCGGTCTTTAATGAGATTGCCCCAGTGAAAGCAGAAGCAGTTTATTCGTTGGACTGGAGTGATCTCAGGGCATTGCTGAAAAAGAAATTGACAACCGACAACATTAACAGCAACCTCAAGTAAATACACACAACTGCACTGTTGCTTTTTCCATAGTGTAAGTTTGAGCAGGTATTCAAATTAAAGATGATCTGTTTTGCCTTTCTATTTTTCCTCCTTGCAGGGAATTCTCTAGTGCCAGTCACCAGGCAGGAAGCACAGGAGATGAGGCACTTGCTAATAAAATCATGGGGAAATTCAAAACTTTTGGAATGAGTACCTGGACCGATGAGCACTATGTGAATATCCATGAGCCTGGTTCCTCAAATAACCAAGTCCTGTTCCGTGGTAACGTTGTGGGAACAACCGAGGGCTATTTGGCATACAGTGCAATTAAAACAGTGCAGGTTAGTTTTGAAAAGGAATGTATGTTGACAGCCAACTGACAAAAAAACACCATAAAAGTATCATAAAATTAGTTTATACAACTTGTGAGCAATTTTCCAAATCTTTTGAAAAAAAAAAATCAATATATGCTTATGTTAAAAATTCAGCTCTGAGAGAAGTTGTAACTTTCTTGAGTATGTCTTGTAATTATTACATACTTTTATAAGACTCTTCAGGCCAAATAATCAGTGAGAGCAAAGGTACACCTGAGCAGAACGAAGGTGTTTCTAAACACGTTTTAAACTTTTTAAAACACGAAAATGGAAGAAGCAACAAAATAGTCAAAGACATTTGTCTAGCGATTTTCGCGTATACTGAATAACAGTGCAGACATACACCGAACAACACTTTTGGAGTGAATGGGCGCTTATTCACATGATACAACAATAGCTGAATTTTCTTAGTTACTTTTCAAAAAGTAGTCATTTTGTAGGTGAATTATCACTGCATTCAGGAATTCAGTTAGTTCTCTGTGTTGTGATATGCCATCCAAAAATGAAAAGTCTACTAATTTTCTCACCCTCATGCCTTCCCAGATTTATGGCTTTCTTATGTGAAACAGAAATGAATGGAACCCTGTGAAGTTGAAGCTTCAAAACAACTTGTTACTACCCAAAATTATTAGTTGATCATGTTGTGAAACTCGTGTGAGAAGTGAGGAGCATCATATCACAAGTTTACATCACCGTTCACAATGTGCTGGAAAAAGTTTAAAATGTTAGCTATTTTCTCACACACTTATCATTTCACTTCAGCAGATATTGATTCTTAAGGTGGGGTTGTTTGTTTTGCTTAGTTTTTGATGTATCAACTTTGAGGGCCCATCCACTTGCATTATATGGACTAACAGAGATGGAGTATTTTTTTGAAAAATTTCAGTTAGTGTTCCACTGAAAAAAAGAACGTCATACTTCTGGGATTAAAATGTGAATATAATTGAGATACAAGTAGAAGGTTTTCGGTGTATAATGACACATTTCAGCCTGTTCCGTATTATTTATTCTGTTGTATAGGGTGCAGCTCTGTATGCCCATTATGGGCGAGCAGAAGACTTCAGGCGCCTGCAAGAGCGAAATGTTGACATAAATGGAAAGGTCGTCTTGGTTAGAGCTGGACTCTTAAGTTTTGCTGAAAAGGTTGGTTCGCTCATATTTTAAGACCGTTATTATTGATATTTACTCATTTATCCTTTTGTTTTTATTTGCTTAATACAGGTTGCTAATGCTGCTAGCTTGAATGCTAGTGCTGTGCTAATTTATCCAGATCCTGTTAACTACAATATTAAAGAGGACACTGCTCTTTTTGGCCATGTAAGTTGTGGAACCTTTCTTTTATCAGAATATTTGTGCATTTAGAAGTTAATGTACAGTAAAATGCTCTTTTCATAGGTCCATCTCGGCACTGGTGATCCCTATACTCCAGGATTCCCTTCCTTCAATCATACCCAGTTTCCACCGGCTCAGTCCTCTGGCTTGCCCAGCATTCCGGCCCAAACTATAACCATAAGACAGGCTACTGAGATCATGAGGTGCAGTTGTGCCATTAATTTCTCTTGCTATTTACGGTCACTGTTGTTGTTACTGATATGTCCCTATTTGACTTGTAGTGTTGTTACTGAATTGCGAATTCAGCAAAAAGGCACATCACGATTAATCATGACCGATCATTGTTCTTTACATTAATGGTCAGTGTACTTTTGCACATCCTTAGAGATATATATTATACGTACCTAGAGTTTTAATGCTTAATATTTGAATAGAATTATATTGAACATCTTACCATTTGGGATTAAAGACAAATTGGAGGTTATTATAACTGTAATAAGTTATTTACAATTATTTTAAGAAAATGTTTTAGTCATTTTAAATTCATGTTTTGTCTTTTGAATAATTTAAAGAAAATTGGTCAATTCTTAAGAAGTGTTTTTGGGAATACAAAATATTCTTAACTTTATTTAGTTAGAAAATAATGAGAAAAAAGCCGTTAAGAATTTTATTCTTAAGAATGTAAATGTAAATCTGGCCTCAGAGTGTAATATGGGCTTAATGTTGGGCTTTTTTTGACTTGAGCCAACATCAACCTACAGCAGCAACCACACAAAACATCTAAATATCAACCCCATGCAACAATGCACTTAAAAACACTCAGTCTTGGAACTCACCCAGGTCACCCTAGCATCCTGGCAGCAACTTGTGCAAGCACCACTTACATTTTAATCAGAAGATTCAGAAAATTCAATAGTTCTGTCAATGAGGATTGTTAATATTTCCTGTATTTACATGTTTGTCACATTTGTTTGCTTCTGCCCTCTAACAGTAAGTTAGGTGGTCGTACTTCCACTGATGGCTGGAGTGATGGGATGCTTCGGGATACCATGTATAAACTCGGCGATGATGGCGACAATATTACAGTGGAAGTAAAGAATGTCCTTATTCAGAAAAAAATCCACAATGTGTTTGGAGTCATTAAAGGTTATACGGATACAGGTACTATATTCTGTTATATTCTGCTTTAAACAGCTGTGTACATCAAACAATAAATTGGTCCAGGTCACTGATCACTTAATTTTGGTTTTCGTCCTGTGCTTTAGATCGTTATATGGTGATTGGCGCCCAGCGAGATGCATGGGGCCCTGGATATGCCAGAAGCACAGTTGGCACTAGTTTAGTGGTGGAGTTGGCCAGAACTGTCACAGATATGATCAAGAATGGTACATTAAGTACAAGCAATGTGCCTTTTTAAATACATAGATAAATGTCATTATAAAATGAATTATACATGTTCACTTTTAATCAAGAATAAATCTGTTGATTTCAAGTGCATCTTTGTTTTCTTCCAAGATGGATTCAAGCCAAAGAGGAGCATAATTTTTGCTAGCTGGAGTGCTGGTGAATTTGGGAGTGTTGGGGCCACTGAGTGGTTGGAGGTATGAATGCATCTTTGACTGCCTTCTGTTAAACAATAACCATTTTAAAGATGGGAGTAAATACTCTGTGTTTGTATGATACAACAACAAATAATAATAACAACACAAATAAAAGTAAGCAACAATAACAAAAATGTACATACAGTATATTAAACCATTAATCATGCATATTTCCATTCCTTTCTTATCAAAATTAAAACAGACTTCATGTCATTCGAAAATATGAAGGTTTTAATTATAAATATTTACTGTATTTAATTGCAGTATGTATATGGTTATTGCGTTTTTAATGGAGTACTAGTTGGTAAAAACCGCATTGTATACACTGCCAACTATTTAAAAAAAATAACAATAAACTGTTACATCATCACATCGCATTATAGTTATATCATCTTGGAAATGTTACATTTTGTGCAAAATATCTTACCGTTTGTGATCTAATAAAAAATGGAATATACAGAATATATCTGTGCACAATACACATACTGTACTATATACTGCAGAAATAGTAAGAGTACTGTAGTATGTTAGTATGCAGTTTAAAAGCCTGTGCATTCAGCTACTGTAAATCTGTGAATATATTTGTGTTTTTGTACCCTCAGGGCTACCTGACCTCCCTGAATTTGAAAATGTTTTCTTACGTCAGCCTTGATGAAGTTATTTCAGGTTTGTTAAGAGTCATTTCTTGAGGAATTGAAGAACTTTGATCTTGAGTTGATGGTGATCATCTGACATTCTCTTTAGGTTTTGACACTTTCAAAGCAGCTGCCAGTCCACTGCTGTATGAGTTACTAGAGAGCACTATGAAACAGGTGCTGTATCACAAACGCTAAATCTTCAGCATCAATCTTCTTATAATCTGCAAAAAAAAAAAAAAGCTTTATATATATATTTTCCGTTTTGTCTGTCCTAAAAAGAGAAATGACCTTTTCCCCCATGCAGGTCTCATCTCCAGTTGATGCAACCAAATCCTTGCATGAACAGTTTGCTGGATCCAACTGGGAGAAATCTGTGTAAGTTCGTCCCTCACTGCTTATATGCTCCACAGTTTCATTGTAACTTCATGTGGTGAAGGACCAGTGTATTATTTATTTTTAGTATTATTTAAATACTATATATTACTATTTTATACTATTGTTATTCATATTTTTGAATGAGCTTAGTTTAAGTTGTTGTATGTTTTGTGCTTTTGTCATTTTATTACTTTAAATATTTCTATTTATCTTTAATTTTCTTTCAATTTTAGTAATGTTAATGCTTCAACTGAAAACTTTGAAACATTTCAAATCAAGTTTTTCAGCTAATATTTTTATTTTATTATTGCTTCGTTTCAGTTAACAAAATATTTTTAAGTTTGTTAACAATAACACATTTAAGCTGACACATTCTGATCAAACAAATTATATATATCCTGTAGAATGTCCATATAAAAAACTTTTTTTTTTTTCCTCCACAGAATGGAGCCTATGGGTTTGTCTCACTCTGCTTATCCATTCCAGACCTTCTCAGGCATCCCGTCACTTTCATTTCGATTTGCTTCGGTTAGTATCAAGGTTTTACTGAAGCTATCAAAATCGATTCAGGTGCAGTTTGTTTCATGATGAAAGATGGGAAGTAATCATGTTCCTGATGTGTTTCAGAGTACAAAGTCATACCCTTTTGGCACTATTGAGGATACGGATCAAAATCTGGAACGGTACACTTCCTACAACACCCTGAAACTTGCCAAGACGGCAGGTGAGGTGGTCGGACTGGTTACGCTTCGGCTGGTACACGACCACTTGCTCAAGCTGAACGTGGCAAAGTATACCAGCGTCATCCGCAACTATGTGTCCCAAATCAGGTCTAAAGTTGAATCACGCCAAATGGTGAGTCTTTTTGCGATTCCCAAAGAACTTCAGCTTGATGTTTGATGAATTTCTGTAAAGGCTACAGGGAGATGTAATTATCTTTCTGCATGTATCTTTTGAAGTCGGGCCGCCTTCCTTCCACTGTGACGATGCAGTGGCTTCTCTCAGCTCAGGGGTCATACGATCGTGCTGCCAGCGCTCTTGTTTCCGCCATCCGGAACAGTGATCTTGATGACATGGAGCAGTGTCGCATCATCAACAATCGCATTATGAGGGTAAAAAATGGTCAAGCTGTTTCATTCTTTCCTGTGTTGACGTATTTCCTGTAGAAAAATGAAATCGAGATGGAATATATCAAAGGGCTTTTTAAAATATCCAATAGCCTTTGCTGCTGCTATTGATAGTTAGAAGCAAGTGGTTTTAGGAAGAGGGCCATTTTATTGGAAAAAATTTGGATATGATGATAAATCATCAATATTTCTGTTTCACTTTCTCAGAACAGAAAGATACATTTTAAATGCATATAATTGCTAATTGTGTTAGATACATATTAAATGAGTGTAATGGCTAAACATATACTTTGTCAGCTTCTGGAGTGCAACAGCACCTCAAAGCGAATAGACATGGGCTAAAAGCAACAAAATGTCAGCCTTAAAATGCTTTGAAAGGTCTTTCCAGATTGCATTCTTGGGATATACAACCTTAGAAACAGCAGCAGCTGTAGTTTCTGTAGTTCTGCTGTTTTATACGGTGTATGTTAACATGATGTGTCTGTTTGAAGGTGGAAGGCAGTTTTCTCTCTCCCTATGTGTCTCCGCGGGAGAGTCTATTCCGGCACATTCTGCTGGGCTCTGGATCACACACTCTGGCAGCTCTGGTGGATCACCTTGAAGCCATTAAAGGAGGGCTTGAATCTGCTGACATTGACCAATTCAAGAATCAGTTTGCTCTTGCCACTTGGACCATCCAGGGCTGTGCCAATGCATTGGCAGGGGAAGTATGGGATATAGATAATGAAATTTAGACAAGCAGATTCAGCTCACCTCTTTAACTGTGTGATAAGTTTGAACCATCACTCAAGGAAAAAAGGAAAATGAAAGCAGAAAATGATTTTGGTGCTCTATTAACATGAATTGAGGATATGTGGTTTACATCAGTATTTACAGCAGTAGTTGATCCAAAAATTGAACATTGTGTCATTTACTCACCTTCATGTCATTCTAGACCCCTTCTGTGAAACACAAAAGAAGACATTTGAAGAATGTACTAGTCAAACTTTTCCATGAAATTACTGGAGCTATCAAACTTCAAAAAAGACACAAGGGCCTAAAATATTATAAAAGTAGCTCATATCACTCATGTGCTATACTTCGTACTCTGAATCCATACAGATCAAAATTCATAAGGGGTTTGATTGACATCAAGGTAGATAACCCAGAATTTCTATTCTTGGAGGAAGTTTTTCTTTGAGATCTAGTTTAGATTACACAAATTCGGAATGTGTTACTGGTTTATTTTCAAAATTTTCAGACTCCTTTTAGGAACTTCTTGCATAATACCTGAACCGTCTGGATTTAGAGCATTGGTCTCAAACTCAATTCCTGGAGGGCCACAGCTCTGCACAGTTTAGCTCCAACCCTAATCAAACACACCTGATCCAGCTAATCAAGGTCTTCAGGATTACTAGAAACTTCCAAGCAGGTGTGAGTTGGAGCGAAACACTGCAGAGCTGTGGCCCTCCAGGAATTGAGTTTGAGACCACTGATTTAGAGGTTTTTTTTTATACAGACTCCAGTTAGACAATCAGCCATTGCCATTTTAATGTTTGTAACCTAACTTACCTGTGGTCATAAAACACCTCGTAAAGCACAGTATTTTTCCAATTTTCTGGTTGGATACACTTTTTCAGTGGCTCTTCAGATCAGTTCTGTCAAATAATAGAAAGAGGCTTTCCTATGTGGCTTTGAAATTCTATTTATTAGTTTTTTATTTATCAGTGACAGGGATCACTATAAATAGCATTTTGTAACGCCTTTTTTAACAAATGTATAATTATCGGAAGCAGTGCCTTCCATAATTATGACAGTTATACTGTCGAAATGTGAAAGCAGCATCTGCTATGGAGATAACCTTGTTTTCAAAAGCTATGACCACAGACTACATTGTATTTCTTAAATGATAATTAAAAAATCAGTAAGTTACTGGTATGTATCAGTCTTTGGCATCCTCCTTTTGAATCAATGTTATACCTGATCCAGAATCATTATCGGGAGCAGTGCCTTCCATAATGCGAAGATGATGGTAGTTTTTGCCTACCGATGTGTTGATATCGAGGGCAGTGCCCCTCATATTTCACTGTGATGTGGATGTAATTATTGGGAACGGTGTTTCCCATGATGTATAAAATCATCTATTCACACACTCTTACCATAGTAGTTATCTGTTGTAAGTCATGTAATCTGTCAGTTTTTCATACACAATGAAGTGCTGTTACCTTCTTTATCCTTGGATTAATCAAATATGGAGTGGGTGAGGATCACAGCAGAAATATAAAAACTATAGAAACATTCTCTGTAAGATCCTGTCATGGGCTTCTAAAAGATTCTGCCCTGTTCTCTTATTCGGTTTTCATAGTTCTTTTGTTTCTGGTGTATTATTATTTGTGCCTTGTAGACTATGATAAAGCCTTTAAAATACTTTTTCCTCTTCTTTGTTCTTTTCTTTGTTTGTATTTAACTTCACTCTTGCTGTTTTACTTGCAAATCAAAGTGAGATTAAATTACAAAACTATTCAAAACTATTTGATGCCAGTATAATCTTTTTATCATTATACCATGGTTGTCAGAAGACGTATCAATATGAATCGAAAAGTGGGAAACACTCATGTCATGTAAGATTTTGAAATAGGTCCTGTACAGGTCTATATACTGTGTATATACAGTGGGGCAAAAAAGTATTTAGTCAGCCACCAATTGTGCAAGTTCTCCCACTTAAAAAGATGAGAGAGGCCTGTAATTTTCATCATAGGTATACCTCAACTATGAGAGACAAAATGAGAAAAAAAAATCCAGAGAATACAAAAAGATTAGAAAGCAAGTGTTAGTTTTTTTTTTAAGAAAACAAGCAGCAAATGAATAGTGCAATTCTAAAAGGGATTGTTTTTTTTTAGAATTAGAACAAAGAGTGTTAGAGTTAGAGGGTCAACTAAAGATGGAAGAGATGTGTTTTTAGCAGGTTCTTAAAGATGGTTAAGGACTCAGCTGCTCGGATTGAGTTGGGCATGTCATTCCACCAGGAGGGAACATTTAATTTAAAAGTCTGTGAAAGTGATTTTGTGCCTCTTTGGGATGGCACAATAAAGCAACGTTCACTTGCAGAACGCAAGCTTCTAGAGGGCACATATGTCTGAAGTAATGAATTTAGGTAAAGGGGTGCAGAGCCAGTGGTGGTTTTGTAGGCAAACATTAATGCCTTGCATTTTATGCGAGCAGCTATTGGTAGCCAGTGCAAATTGATAAACAGGTGTGACGTGCATTCTTTTTGGCTCAATAAAAATGTATCTTGCTGCCGCTTTCTGGATTAATTGTAAAGGTTTGGTAGAACTGGCTGGAAGACCTGCCAAGAGAGCATTGCAATAGTCCAGCCTGGACAAAGCAAGAGCTTGAACAAGGAGTTGTGAAGCATGTTCCGAAAAAGAAAGGACCTGATCTTCTAGATGTTGAATAAAGCAAATCTGCAGGACCAAGCAGTTTTAGGAATGTGGTCTGAGAAAGTCAGCTGATCATCAATCATAACTCCAAGGTTTCTGGCTGTTTTTGAAG